TGTTGTCCGGGATCTTTATGGAGCGTGTTTTGTTTCGTTTCCTTTTCTTTTCATTTCTGTCGGGGCTTTTCTTCAGCTGGAGGAGAGCATATAGCATCGGATCGTATGTTTCTTCTACCTCGCGGCTATGCATCCTGGCTATTGTTGCTGCATTGCTCGTTGTTGCACGTTGCTCTTGTTCTTTTTTAATTGAATTGATTTGCATTTTTCACGCAGGCGTTGCTCATTGGGTTTGCTCTGCTGTCTGGCTATTTGCACTGCCATCAGTGGGTTAAGACGAGAGGAGGAGCGTTGGCAGGAGGGGGTCTGTTATATTTTATTAGCATAACTTTAATATAAAGTTATTTTTTTTATTTTTGTGTTTACAACAATATTTTATGTTATAAAAAATTTTTGTTAAAAAATTTTTTTATATTTATTTTTGTCTGAAACCATTTATTTGTTTCTGTTCCAGAATTTTGTAGACCTATTTTCTTAAATGTAAAAAAATGTTTATATAGTGGACTTAAATGGAATATTTAAAAAAACTCTTCGAAAGAAACAATACAATTTAATTTATTAAAATGTCTCTAAAAGACTGTTTCATTCTTCTTTTCCTTAACAATTTCCACACGACAAGTGACCATAATTTCATCTCCCCAAATCGAAATCGAAAATTTGTTAATTATAGCTTTACATGGTTCAACGCCCGCCCCCGAAATAAAATTGATATTAATTAATATGTAATTGTAATGGGCAGGCGGCATGACATGGGCCCACATGTATTTCAGTCAAATAGTGGGCGGTGCTGGCGGACTTTGTGTCAAATCGCTGCTGGCTTTAACAAATTAATAAACTTGACCAGACACGAGAAAACCGCATAAATCAATTTCAGTAAAAATGCGCTAAACAATCATAAATAATAATTAAATGCTGTTCAAACTATTTTGGGCAATAAAATGCCCTCACACTGCCGAATTTTCCGTTCTGTTGGATAATTAAAAACTGTCGGTAATTATTGAAATTTGTGGCCAGCGTCAGACATTGGTTAACCGAATGGTTCGTAAATTACGAACAAAAAAATGTACTCTCAAAATTTAATTTAATTAATTGAAACCGAGGCGGAAAAGCGGGGAAATGCGATGGAGATAACCTGGCTGTCATCTCTTTTACATGGCTCGTTAGCTGTTTGCTTGTTTGCTTCCGCTTCCTGTTCCTATTCCTGTCATCTATCTAACAATTTGTAACGCCTAATTGGGCAAAGGGTAGCTACAATCTACCTATATATCCGCCATATATATATGAGCATATATATATCGGGCACACATATCCATCTCAAGTGGACGAAGTGAACTTTCCACTTCTAATTGCACATTTGTATGCCTAATCGATCTGTCCGATTCGATTTGTTTTCACGTCTCTCATGGAATTTGTGTGCCGTGTTGACTTTTTTCCATACCATACCATACCTTTCATCTACTGTATTGCTCTTTCTTTCTATCTCCTTTGAGGGTTACCTTTTGGCCAGGTGTCCGTTTGAACGGTTAAAGCAAATGAAGCGTGACATTTTTCACATTTTCTCTTCGTTTTTCTGGTTGGGGGCGGAAATTGTTGGGAGGTTGACGTAGTCGGGGGAAAAACCAGCTCTATGTAAATTGGGTGCATGACAAAGGATTTTGATGTGTATGTTTTCTGAGCAATCAATTGCTCTTTAACTGGCTGATAGCATGTGTATCAATAGAATGAACGGGGTGTACAGGGTTAAGTGGACGGAATGTAACTTGTTTGAGGTAAAAGTAGCTGCATAATATACTCAGAAGATACTGTTAGAGACTTTACTACTGGATAACACTTTTTAATAATATTTCTTTTGATTTTTAAATACAAAGTCTTAGAATTTAATGTTATTATTAAAGTATAGACTGATATTAAAAAAAACGAAATCGTTTTATATGTAAATAACTTCTATTAATATTACAAATTGAATATTATATATTTTATATTTAATATCCCATTTAATTAAAAAAAATACCTAAAACAATCATTTTTATTCAAATTCTTAAAAAATAAAAAAAAAACAATTTGAAATGAATTCTTAAAGGGTATTAAAAATGCTTTTCACATCAACACCAAGAGGTAAAGTCAAAGTCTTAAAATTGACTCCTCATCAGCAGGCACTTCAAGTATTGTTATTGGCAGCAAAAAGCCCACTGTATACCCCTTTTTTGCCGCTTCCCTTTCCTTTTTACCCACTGTCCTTTATGGACTGTCATAAGCGGCTTAGCCGAAGTTGATTAGGAGCCATCTCTTTCGCACATTGATTGCGTGTTGCAACAAACGCTGATCATGTAAATCCTAAGTTGCAAGTTTATGTGTTGCATGCACTCTCTATGTATCTGCGTTTATATACACACTTTTATAGATATGGTTGTAATGCTGGCCAGACAGCCACGAAACCCACATGCAACTCCATTTGGCCGTTGCACGCAATTAAAATCTTCATTAGCCGCGTTTAATTTCCACTTTTGATTAAAATAAAAAATAAGGAAAAACGAAAGGCAAAAGGCGAAAAAGCGAGACTGGGCAGAAAGGCAGAAAAATCTTGTGACATGTGTCGCTGCTTATCGCCATCAGCCGGCAGCAACAAGTGGAGTTTTTCAGCAGGAGTCGGAGTTGGGGTCTTTGGATCCGGTCCTCGAGCAGGACTCTTCGGATTGGCCGGACACTTTGCCTGATTAACGTTGGCCGCTTCGCTGGAGTCGCTATCAATGCTGGGCCTAAGTGACAGTTGACTTGTTTATCAATTGACAGACGTTGTTTTCCCTCTTTTTTTTTCTGCGATTTTATTTTTTCTTAGTTTGGGTCGGGTAACTGTTAATAAGCTTGTTCTGCGGCCTGTGAAAATGTTGCTTTTAATTAAAAGTCGTCGCAGCCGCTTGAATGTTGTTGGAATGTTTTGGCTGCTTTGCCTGCTGTTTTGTAAGCCGTATTTTAAAGCCCGATCCTGTCACGATAGCGGCCAAAGAGCTCATGTTCGACAACTAAGTAGTTGCCACAAGTCGAGATATTGTGTGTTTGTGCATAAATATTTTCTCGGTCTTTTGCCATTAAATCATGATCACGCCGATCAGCCTACGCAATTCGAAACATTCGGTTCTCATCGAGATAAACATAAATTCCCTGTATTCAGAAATATATTTCGCAATTGAATATTTGGATTGTGAAAGGGAGACTTGAGTTAGGCAATTAAATTTGATTATTTATTTTATTTTATTAGGAGGTAAAGGGAATTTATTTAAAAGCATTTTAAATATTTTTGAGATATTAACTTGTATTGATTTATCGTAAAATTGTAATAGTTCATTTTTATTAAGAAAACTTTTCAGTTTATCTGTTTTACTCCTCCCCTTGAAACTCTGGTCAGTTATTTCTTTTTCGTCTAATTTCTGACTTCTGCTGCTCTGCCATTTTAATTGGTTTTCTTTTGCGGCTTGCGACCACAAACAACGGTCGAAAGTTCTTGGCAACCAAAACTTTTTACCCACTCTGGACATGTTTATTACTTGGCCACAATTAAGCCATATATTTCTTGGACAAAAGCAGCTCTCCTGCTGTTTTTCCTCCACTGGTTTTTCCTGCAGGCCTGCAGTTGTGGGTCAGTGGATTACTCCTCAGAGGCTTTCCAGCATTGTTTCTTCGAGTGTCTCCCACTCTCTAATGAGCTGTCCCCGGCAAATGAAGTTCAATGTTGTGGCTTGTAAATCTCCCCACATGTGCTCCACTTTCCGGCAGAATCCCATTTCCATAAATATCAATTAAGCGAGAGGAGCGACTATCAAAAGTGACAGAAACATGTGGATGCGTCTCGAGTTTCCCCGAGTTGAGTTGAGTTGGCTTCTGGTCTTCTGGTCTTCTGGCTTTCGAACTGGCTACCTGGCCTACGCAGTTTTATAATTGGACAATTTACTGAGGTGCTGCCCCTGAAAAGGCCCCCTCTAAACTCTCCAATTGAGCTCATCAAGTTGGTAGTCTATAAAATGGGGGGAAAATGTTACCATTTAGGCGCCGAAGCATGAAACGTACTGCCCCATGTGGGCGTGTCCATCGAAATTGAAGTCGTGTGCTGGGGTTAGAGCTACGCCTCAATGGATATACCCCAAATTCAATTAGTCAAAGTCGAAAAGCTTTGCTCACAGTCCCATAAGCGGCTTAGTTTTCCGCACAAACACAGTCACACACACGGAAATTGTTATGAAAATGCTTTCACTAATTTTCAGAGCTCTTCTAATTACACTTGGAGTTTTTCGGACGGAGTTCTTCCAGCGAGCTGATGTTACTTAGTCATTTGGCATCCACTAAGCGGTCACTAAGCGTCAATATTTCATGCCTAAGCCTATTACAGATTATTGTGCCAGCTTACACAGACGCAAATGACAAGTGGCGGGAAAATCTGGGGGAAAATGGGGAAGGGGAAATTGGAAACTCGCGTTATGTGATGCCAACAATGTGTGGAGTGTCAAGTCATGATTGGAGCGCCTATTGGGCGGCTGATTTGCATAATGTTTAATAAATAGTTGGAAAAGTTTCCATAAAAATTATTCAAGTTGTCGATTAAGGAATTTCGAAGTGATTAGGGAAAATAGATTATTATTTAAAATTATTTAATAACAAAAATTCCGTGTCTAATTTAAATACCGATCGCATTAAAGCCTTTTAATTTTGCAATAATGAAAAGTACAACCTCCTGGTTGACTTCCCGCCCAAAAAACCCCTGGCAAATATGGCCCCATTGCCTGTCAGTTCAAACCCTGATTGTTAGTTAACCTGCGAGGCATTTACACTCTCCTGGCAAACATTTCATGAATTCATTTGTGCGACGGCCCGGAAAATGTGTTGCCAAAATGAAAAGTTGCCCAGCCAGGCGATGCTAGAATAAAACGTGATTAGCAGCCTGATTTTCTGCTTTAAATGGATGATCCATTAGAGTATCCAGTTTAGTTGTAGCGAGTTGTCCAAGAAAGATGAAGCTTCAGTTCATTTTGATCGGTTTACTTTGCGGCCTGTGTTTTGGCCAAGACGAAAAGCGAATTCGGCCGAATCAGGGAAATGTTTTCGAGTGGCTGGGTTCGATATTTTTACCACCCGCGACAACAACAACAGCGACTTCTACTCCAGTATCAAGTACAACTACGACTACAACAAGGAGAACCACAACCACAACAACAACGACGACTTCAAGACCCACAGTAGCCAACTTTCCTATAGACAGGGATTGCGTTTCCTGTCGCTGTGGCCTTATTAATACCCTATATAAAATCGTGGGCGGTGAGGAAACGCGAGTTCATCAATATCCCTGGATGGCTGTGATTCTGATCTACGATCGCTTTTACTGCTCGGGATCTCTGATCAATGATCTATACGTCTTGACAGCAGCACATTGTGTGGAGGGAGTTCCACCGGAACTTATTACCCTGAGATTTCTAGAACACAATCGTAGTAATTCCAATGAAGATATCGTCATCCAGAGATATGTTTCCAGGGTAAAGGTGCATGAACTGTATAATCCGCGAAGTTTCGACAACGATATAGCCATTCTGCGGCTAAATCAGCCGGTTGATATGGAGCATCGCCGACTGAGACCCATTTGTCTGCCCGTACAATCCGACAGTTTTGATCACGAATTGGCAATCGTCACTGGTTGGGGATCTCAGAGGGAAGGAGGACCTGGCTCCGATACTTTGCGGGTAAAAATATTCATTATACCCTTGCAGAGGGTATTATGATTTCAGTCAGAAGTTTGCAACGCAGTAAAGGAGACGTTTCCGACCCCATAAAGTATATATATTCTTGATCAGCATCACAAGACGAGTCGATCTAGCCATGTCCGTCTGTCCGTCTGTCCGTCCGTCTGTCCGTCTGTCCGTCTGTCTGTTTCTACGCAAACTAGTCTCTCAGTTTTTGAGCTATCGGGACAAAACTTTCGCAAAGTCTTCTTTCTATTGCAGGTAGTATATATGTCGGAGCCGACCGGATCGGACAACTATATCTCATAGCTCCCATAGGAGCAATCGGAAAAAAACTTTGAAAATTCTAGCTTCGGTGTTTTTGAAATATTACCTTCTACTTTTGGGGATGTTATTTTTTAAATATTTCTGAATTTCGAATTAATTATTTAAAAATCGGACTACTATATCATATAGCTGCCATAGGAACGATCGGAAAATTAATGAGAAATATTAGAAAATTGAACATTTTTGCGATTTGTTAATTAATAGGAATGATCTGCAAGGGTATATAAGCTTCGGCTGGCCGAAGCTAGCTTCCTTTCTTGTGAGAAATGTGCCCTATAAATATTTTAAAATTCAGGAGGTTAAAGTTGTAGTGCTGCCCCAATCGGACTGCCGGAATGGAACTTCCTATAAACCAGGGCAAATTACGGATAATATGCTGTGTGCCGGGAGTATTTTGGAGGGGGGCAAGGACGCCTGCAGTGGCGACAGTGGCGGTCCCCTTCAGACGACCTTCGACGAGCAGCCGGGCCAATATCAACTGGCTGGGATCGTTTCCTGGGGCGTCGGTTGTGCCAGACCCCAATCGCCGGGAGTTTACACCAGGGTCAATCAGTATCTTCGCTGGCTGGGATCCAATACACCGGGAGCTTGCCACTGCATGCCCTATCCAGAGGAGGATTACTGAATGTATTTTAGTAATATTTTAATCGGAAAACATTTTATTAAACTGTATTAAACTGTATACACAAGCAATAAACAGTTAAAGGTATCTTCAGATTACCACACTTGGCAAGTTTGGTTCGTAGGACGCATTCTAGATCCCACGGGACAGTTGAAGGCCTGTAAGAAGTCCTCGCTGTTGGTTAGGTCACTCAGAAGTTTGTATTTCGGCTCGCGACTCCAGTTGGCCGCCATCAAATCGTAACAAACCGTCTGGGCAAATCCCAGAAAGAAGAGCTGATCTGGCAGCAGGTCGAGTCCTGGCATCTTTTGTTCAGGATTCTCCAGAGTCTGCAATCTGTGGCTGCGATGGGCCTCAAAGGCCGACTTTAATCCCCCGCTCTCGTTATACAAATAGAATTGGCGAAGGACCTTCGGCCCGAGGTGCTTACTGAAGGCCTTCCACTGGCAGTCCTTATATAGCAGATCCAACTTCTCGAAAGAAGAAAAAAGTAGGAAAGTGGTGAGATGCTGGCCAACCGTGAAACCCAAGGAGCCGAATTTCAGGGAATGCGGCCATGAATTGTGGTAATAAGGAGGTTCCAGCAAACCGGCATCGATTGCGACGATTGGGATTGGATTACCATTTGTAATGTTTTTATCAAGTCCAATAATCGCCTCCCACGGCTTAGTGTAGTTAACTTTTTCCCTTGGATGGCGGGTGCTAAAACGCTTCATGTCGACTTGAAGGCGGAGCAAATTCATATTGGTTACAGCGTAACTATCGTCGACTACTTCCAGACGGAGAATCTCCCGGACTAGCTGATCGGTAAGAGAGGAGTCCGCAGGTGTGCCGAACTGAAGCACTGTTGAGGACAGCTGGAACAGTGCCTCCTTTCGCGCTTCCGAGTCCAACCAAGCCACTTCCTCAACTAAAGTTCGCAAGCTCTTTCGGACTTCCTGCACAATTTTAAGCACTTCCGACCGCTTTTCTTTATCAAAGGTCTCCTGCAATATATTTTTATTTTATGTTTTTTTATTTTATTTATATTTTATTTACTAGACTTACCGCCAAATGGAGTTTCTTGAACAGGGGCCACATGGAGGTTCGCATCTTAGTAGTGCAATAATCTCTTTGGTTCTTGACATCCTTTAGACTGGCATCGAATGTGTAGAGCAGCTGCATGGCCAGGTAATTGGCCACAGCCTCAGGATGCCGGAGACAAACCTTTTCCATTATCGGTAAATCGAAATCCAAAGGCTCTTTCTTCTCGTTCTGGTTCCACACGATCTCGAAATAATTAGTAATGTCAAACGCTACGCCGGGCCTAGATGAACTCTCCTCCTTAAGTAGCTCTCGCCAAAACTCAAAAACACCGTCGATCACTTCTGAAATTTTAGCCTCTGTGAGGTTAAAGGATCTTAAGTATCTGCGCATGCGCCGCTCGTTGCGTTTATAGGCCCAGGATTTGTTTTTCTTCATGTTGTCCAACTTAACGATGGCGTCAAACCCCTTATAATTAACCGCCAAGGACACTTCAGATCTTCCATAATTTGGTAGCACCTCCTGATATAGACCCCGTGCCCCGTAATTGGTGAGATGGGCGCTCATGTTGAACCAGCTGAAGTTGGAGGCATTCCAGGCTGCCCCATCCACCGCTGGAAAACCTCCGATCGACCGAATCAGATTCAGGTAATGCGGATCGGCAGCAGGAAACGGATGGAGATCAGCCTCCAGGCAGGCGTTGTAGAATCGTTGGGCCACCCTCAGTTCCCTGGACACATTGAGAGACTCCGCCAGATCCATCCTGTGCAGCAGTTCCTTCGCGATGTCATCTAGTACGTAGCCTGGTTTTCCTAAGTTTTCCCTTCGGGAGTATCGGTCCGGCCTTATGTTTTCGAAGTTACCGCAGGCGTACTCGTAAAAGTCGTCACAGGGTGCCACACTCGAGTTCATATATGACTTCACGAGTTCCGCATGGGAGTAATCAGTTTCCGAATTCTTTATCACTTTCTGTTCATTGCCAAATGTCAAGGGAAAGCTTAGTAAAAGCAAGTAGATCGGTAGTTCGACCGAACTAAGGCTTATCGAGCACCGAAAACTGCTCTTGAATAATCCCATGCTAATCAGCGGAGCTGGTGTGCCTAATTTTAACAAACTGAAGGGCCGACTGTCCAGCTCAGAGCTCGATTTTATACTGTCAGCTTTCAGCAATTGTTAATTGTGCCATGAATGGATTTGCCAAGTAATTGCCTAATTTGTGAAATGTCGACAGCGGCATACCCAGTAGTACCCGATGTTCTTTAAAACTAACTGAATGGTTAGTTCTGCCTAGATTAAATCAGCTTCGTAAATGCTTTTTTTTGTTTGATAATTTATTGAATGCTTTACAAATGATATGAAACATTGGCCACCTTTTTTAAAAGTGCAACGCAACTCACAACAGGAGGAATAATAGAAGGATTCATGGCCCAACTCTTGCACTTGGGTTGAATAAACACACACACATTACACTTCGATTAAAGGGTATACACAAACGGAACTTGGTGAACTTCCTCGTCCCTCTGCGATAAGCGTCTCGGGAACAGAAAAAATGGTAGGGGTATGGCTCGGTTATCAATAAGTCTAGAGCACATGGATATGTAGATGGTCCCGAAATTTAGATATAGGTATACCTCGTCTTCCTTAAATAAAATGGGTATGGGTAGTTAATTAACATACAATAAATATCAACATCAGTTGGAGAATTTAAAAACAAGAAAGGATGCTAGCTTTGGCCATCCAAAGCTTATATACCGTTGCAGATCATTCCTATTAATTTACAAAAACAATCAACATTTAGTTTATTACAATAAAATGATTATTATAGCAACTCAAATTAAATTTATGATTAGGTAATTATTTTGTTGCCCTTTATTAAAAACAAGTCGGTCACTTAGGCGAAAAAATATTTCGATAAGCCGCAAAAATGTGATATAATTAGTTTTTGATTGGATTTTGATGTCCGATAGTGATTACCACACGTGGTAAGTTTTGTTCGCAGGACGCATGCCAGATCCCAAGGGACAGTTGAAGGCCCGGAAGAAGTCCTCGCTGTTGGATAGATCATTCAGAACGCGATTCCTTGCAAAAGCCTGTTCGTCCTCCTTGTAGCCGGAACGAATCATCTGAGCGAATCCCAGAAAGAAGAGCTGATCTGGCGACAGGTCGAGCCCGGGCATCTCCTCGCTGGTTCCCACTCCGTGGAGGATCCACACCCAGAAGGTAGTTGTGGTAGGCCTCAAAGGCCTGCCTTAAAGCCCCGTCTTCGACAGCTGGTTTCCATAAACTGAAAATGGGTATATTCATCCGGGATCGCGTATTTACCGTAGACATCCATAAAGCTTTTCTCTCGCACCCTATATTGTGTTTCTGATTTCCGGTATTTGTATTTAAGGAAGGAGATGGAGTTCATCGGTAAGTTTGCTGCCAACGTTAAAGCCCAAGGTGCTGAACTTTGCTGATATAAACACCATTTCCAAAGATAACGAAATATGCCTGAAACCATATCCACAACTGCATCCTCCGACTTTTGTTGGCGTATTTTGCTTCCTTAAAGTGGCGAGTGTTTAATCGATCTATTTCCGTTTTGAAGCGGTGAAAATTCATAGTTGTCGCAGCGTAACTATCGTCGACTACTTCCAGGCGGAGAATTTCCTGGACTAAGAGATCGGTGTGATCGGTGGCAAGAAATGGGTCGTCGATGGACTCGATGCCGGGCAGAATTTGGGATTCCCTGAGCAGTGCCTCCTGTCGAGCAGTCGAGTCCAGCCAGTCGGCTTCCCTAAGTAGCTTTCGCAGGCTATTCCGCATTTCCCGCTCAATTTGGGACACTTCCAACCTTTTTTCCTCAGTAAAGTACTCCTGTAAACATACAATTTGTTAGTTAGATCCTATTTTTTGTTATTGAAGCTTACCGCCAAAAAGAGTTTCTTGAACAGGAACCACATGGAGGATCTCACCGTTGTGGTGCAGTAATCTTTACGGTTTTTTATCTCCTCCGGATTAACATCGAATGTGTACAGTAGCTGCATGGCCAGGTAATTGGCAATAGCCTCACTGTGCCGGCCACTCAATTTTTCTATCTCCACGAAGTGAGGATTGCAAACCCATGGGTCCTTCAACTTTTTAGCCGTGACGATCTCGAAGAAACTGCTAACATCGAAATAGTTATCGTCACAGGAGCCATTTTTCTTAAACGCCTCTAGAGCCTCTCTCCAGAAGGCAAAAATCCCCTCGATCACCTCTGCTATTTTATCCTCTGTGAGGTTAAAGGCTCTTAAGTAGCCGCGCATGCGTTGCTCGTTGAGTTTGTAGGCGAGCGAAGAATTCGTATCGATGTTGTCCGCCTGAACGATTGGGTCAAAACCCAGATCACCCATAAAGAAGTACGTTTTATGAGGCAAATCGGACCGAAGAGTATCATGGACCAGACCCCGAGCCCCGTAATTGGTCAGATGGGAGCTCATGTTGAACCAGTTGAAGTTGGAAGCATTCCAGGCGGCACCATCGACGACGGGAAATCCTCCGATCGATCGGATGAGTTTTAAGTAATTCGGATCGGCAGCAGGAAACACAGAGAGATTAGCCCCCAAACAGGCATTGTATAGTCTTTGTGCCACCCTGAGCTCCCTGGATACATTGAGTGACTCCGCCAGATGCACCAGTTCCTCCGAGATGTCATCCAGTGAGTAGCCTATGTCGCTTAAGTGATCCCGTCTGGAGAATCGGTCAGGTGTTGTGGGTCTGTAGTTACCGCAGGCGTACTCGTAGAAATCGTCACAGGGTGTCACACTCAAATTCATGTAGGACTTCATAAGTTCCGCATGGGAGTGAAGGTAATCAGTTTCGGAATTCGTTATCACTTTCTGTTCGACCGCCCCGCTCAGTGAAAACATAAGTGTAAGCCAGTAGATCAGCAGCCCGATCGAACCTAGGCTAATCGAACACATAAATATGTTTTTGAGTAATCCCATGTTAATCAG